TTTCAAACTGAGTTACATCCTAGCTCTCTTTTATTTTTATTTGAGATAGGGTCTCACTAAGTCACCAAATTGCCCAGGCTGGGCTCAAGTTGTGCCCCTTCTGCCTCAGCCTCCCAGAGTGCTAGGATCACAGGCGTGCACCACCACACCGACCTGTGGAAGGGATTTTATTTAGTCTTCAGTGCTTCTCTGTCTTCTTGCTCTGTTGTTCTGCTGCTCAGGTATCACAGCCATAGCAAGAAAAGAGAGGGAATGGGTGTGGAAAATGTAAGCAACAGAGGCTGCCACAGAGGGACAGAGTCCCCAAGCTGCCCCAAGGGCACCACTGCTATGGAGGTGATTTTTTAGGAGAAAATGATTCAGGAGGCTAAGGCAGGAGGGTCACTTGAACGCAGAAGTTCAGAGCCAGCTTGAGAAACATGGCAAGACATCTGTTAAGCAGGACATTCCTAAGAGCTCCCAGAGCCAGACAGGGAGCAGAGAAGATGAGGGATGTTTTGGTGCCGCCGTTCTTTGGCTCACTGAAAGGATACACAGCAGCCTGGGAAGGAATGGTGCCCCTCCCAGGACAGCAGCGAGGGCTGGGACTCCAAGAACAGTGCCTGGGGATCTGGGGACCGCCGTTTACTAACTAGTTAGGGGACCCTCCCTTGTACTGGCTTTTTTAATTTAAAAGCCACCCTAATTTGTAGCATTTGCTGATTTCTGCAGTGTAAATATTCCCACTGGGGCCAATTTCAAGTCACCACGTGTAACAAGCAGCACATAGGATTCCTGAATATTTAACAAGCGGCTCCCAGGCGCCCTTACACACGGACTCTCAGCACCACTCCTGATACCCACTCTGGGGAAGCCCAGAAATAACTGGGGAGTCCCCGAAGGAGAGTCAGAGGATTTGTCATCACACGAGTGCAGCTTTGTAGTCACAAGCTGATGAGGGCCGGGGCTCCGGCTGTATTACAAGGTGTTGGTGCGCATTCTTGTGGTAAGATAGACCCGTGTGCAGTCCTGGATTCAACAAGTATTTACTGAGAACCTTCTCTGTGCTGGGGACTGTTCTAGACACCAGGGAAAAATAAAGTTAAAATGAAGTTCTTGTTCTCAAGGAGCTCCCAGCCTAGCGTCTGTGAAATGATGTCACATGCTGACATTACTGTGAGGGACATTCAAGCAGGGAGGGGGACACAGCGTGGTCAGAGAAGCCCTTGCTGGTGAGCAGAGGAGAGAATGGGGGAGAGGGAGGGAGCCAGCCCCAGTTCAGGGGAACATTGCAGGCTGAAGAGAGATGGAAACCAGAGGCCAGATGGCAGCAGGGCCCGGCTTTGAGTTAAAGCAGAGAGGCAGCGCGCGGAGTGTGGAGCTGGCGTTTTATTCTCCGCCTGATGAGAAGGCAGGGGAGGGTTTGAGTGAGAAATAACAATATCTCTTTTGCATTGTAAAAGGATGCTGCGTCCAAAATAGAATGCGGTGATAGGAGAAGAAGCAGAGAGACCAATTAGGAGGCTCCTGCTTCAGCCTGGCTGAGAGATGACAGAGGCTTGAGCTGAGGTGGAAGGGCAGGAAGTAAGAAGTGGTTGGACAGAGACAGAACTGAGAAGAGCTCATTAAAATCCGCAAATGCAATGGAGGAAAAGGCCAAAAGAGCTCGGACAGCCCCCTACTTTGGTGCTCCCCACCCAAACTTATGGGATTGCTAAAGAAAAGCAGCTCCTGGGTGGGAAGAACTGAGTGGAAGAACTCAATGGAATGGTCATAAGTCTATTTTGTTCTTGTTCCTGAAGGGTAGTTTTGCTGGGTATAGAATTCTGGGTGGGCATTGGTTCTCTCTGAGCATATTAGACACTGGGGAAAAACCAGCCACACAGTGACATTCTCAGACAAGCACTAGAACCTGACAGTGGGGTGTAGCTCGGGGGTAGAGCACTTGCCTAGTATGCCTGAGGTCACGCTTCCAGCCCTAGCAGCACAGAGAGAGAGAGGGAGAGAGACGGGGAGAGAGAAGGGGAGAGAGAGAGAGAAGGAGAAAGGTAGGTTGCTGCCAGCAGATCTAACTACACTAAAGATATTCTAAGTACTTTATTTCCAGCAGGCTGAAAATGAGCACATGTAGAAGCCCTAAGTGAACACAGCATGTATATAACATGATAATATCTTGTGAGGTTTAAAAAATAAATATATCAAGCAAAAATCAAAGATTGCCAGATTAGATAATAAAAACCCAAGAACACATTATCTACAGGAAATACATCTGAAGCATAAATACACAAATCAAGTAGAAAATGGAAAAGTAGAAAAAGCACATCAAATACTGTCTTGGTCTGTTTGTGCCGCTACAGTAGCACGCTTGAGGCTGGGTGATTTGTAGTGAACGGGAATGTATTGGCTCACAGTTCTGGAGGCCACGAGGTTCAAGGTGAAGGTGCTCAGACCTGCCAAGGCCCTGCTCACTGTGCTTCGTCCTAACATGGGAGAAGACAGAGGGCAGAGGGGAGGGAGGAAGCGGGAGAGAGAGGATTAGCCTACTCTCCGGCTTAATACCCCCGTGACCCAAACACCACTGCAAGATCACATTTGTGATTGACCTGCAAAGTGAGATTTGCTCTGTTTTTGTGTTGCAGCATAAGAGATTGAACCCAGAGCCTTCACACTGAGCTACAGCCCCAGCCTCTTTTTTTTTTATTTTTTATTTTTGAGACAAGACCTTTTTATGTAACTTCAATTTCTCAAGATGCGCTCAAACATACATTCCTCCTGCCTCAGCCTCCCAGACTGCTGGGATTACAGCTGCATGCCTCCACCCCTGGCTTCACCATGAGTTTTAGAGGGGGCAAATATTCAGACCATAGCAAATACTAAACAACAGAAAGCTGATGCAGCTAGATTAACTACAGAAGATGATAGGGTTGAAAGCCAAACAATTTCAAAATGGGCAGTCATTTCATCATGATATGGATTCTGTTTACCAGGAAGAGACGGTGAGTCTAAATTTGCGTGTACCAGGAAAATGTTTTTTAAAGTATGAAGGGGAAAAAAAAGGCAGAATGACAAAGAGAAGCAGACAAATCCACAATCATAGTGGGACATTCTAACCTATATCTTCCGGTAAAGATATAACAGGTAACAAGCTCGATGCAGTAGACAGCCGCAGGACATGGCATCCACTCCCTGCAGAATCCATGTTCTTATTCAGCACTCATAGAATATTCTAAAAGATCAAACATATCCTGGGACACTAAGCAAGTCTAAGCAACAACAAAAGAATTTTTTTTGAGGTGGGGTTTCTCTATATAGTTCAGACTGGCCTTGGAGTCACTGTGTAGCCCCGGCTGGTCCGGAACTCCCAAGCGCGGGGATTACAGGCAAGTGCCGCCACACCTGGCTAGAACAAATTTTAAAGTATTAAAGTCGCACAGAGTATGTTTTCAGACCATAATACATCTGTGTTATAAATTAATAGAGAAAAGGTATCTTCAAAATCCATATATATTTAGAAATTAAGATGGCCCATGTCATTCCATGATTACATAAAATTATAATATCTTCTAGAAGTTAAACATTCATAAAATTATAATAATATTCTCTAGAAGTTAAAAAAATAAGGTAAAGTTAAAATACACAACAATAGCATATAAACTGGGCACTGGGGACACACCTATAATCCCAGCACTTAGGAAGCTGAGGCAGGAGGATTGCCAGGCATTTGAAGCCAGTTTGAACTAAGTAGGACCCTGTCTCAAAAAAAAAATAGCATATAAGCTAGAGGGTGGTTAATGCAGTTGAAGTGTTTAAGGCTGCTGCATAGTGCAGGGAAAAGAGATACTGATTTTGAGACTGTATAAGCATGGTAGCAAGTTAAAATTACCAGGGTATGGTAACTATGATAAGTGTGGAAACAGAGCTGAGCATGGTGGTACAAGTCTGTAATCTCAGCTACTCAGGAGGCTAAGGCAGGAGGATCTCAAGTACAAGGCCAGGAGGCAATTCAGTGAGATCCTGTCTCAAAATAAAAATTTAAAAGGTCTATGCCAGGTGTGGTAGCACACATTTGTAATCTCAGCACTAGGGAGGCTGAGGCAGGAGGATTGCCACAAGTTCCAGGCCAACCTGAGGTATATAATGAGTTCAAGTCCAGCCTGATTTCCATAGTGAGACTCTGTCTCAAAAAAACCAAAATGAATAAATAAATAAATGGTCGAGGGATGCAGCTCTGGCCTCATGGGTTCAATTTCTAGTATGATGGGGTGGTGGGGAGAAGGAGAGAAGAGGAAGGAGAAGGAGGAGAAGGAGAAAGAGAATAAGAGGAAAAAGAAACAGAAAAGATGTCTTTGAAACTATAAGAAATAAGAACAAGACCAAAGCCAGGCATAGTGGCAGACACCAGCACTGGGAGGCTGAGGCAGGAGGATCACAGTGAGTTTGAGGCCAGCCTAAGCTACATAGCAAGACCCTGTCTCAGAAAAAGAAAAGAACAAAACTAAAAACCAGCTGAGCGTAGTGGCACATGCCTGTAATCCCAGCACGTGGGAGGCTGAGGCAGGAGGATCATTGCAAGTTCGGGACCAGCCTGGGCTACAAAGTGAGCTCAAGGCTAGCCTAAACTGCATAGTGAGACCCTGTCTCAAAAACACCAAAAATAAATGAATAAATAAATAAATAAAAACCAGATCTCTCTCAAAATAGAAGCAGGCAAAAGTGTAAATCAGGAGATATAAGATTTGAATACATGTAAACTTCTGTATGCATGTTTAGTTAAAATGCCACTTCCCGCTCACCCTGGGGACTAGCGTGGGAAGATTCAGTTCCCCAGTGAAATCAGGGGCCCAGGGTTACTGGCCTCAGGGGGTAGCAGGCACTGTCCATTCCCCATGCGTAGCCCTCAGACTCACCACTTCCTCCTGCACCTGTCAGTTTCCATCTGCCAATTTCTGCACCTCGTCTTTCAAAGCCGTGAGACCTCTCTGTCACCAGGGTGACCTCTGGGACAGACAGATGAGTCTCACCTCTCTCTCGCTCCTCCGGTGAGGGAACCCAGAATGGATCCCCACTGCGCCATGGATTTCAGCTGCAGCTTCCCACTGTGGTCCCTGGTGTGAGAGCACCCATTCCGGGCCCTGTACCGGTCCCCGTTCTCTGCGGAGGTGTCCTGCTCTTCCCCAGTAACCGTGCCTTCCATCTCCCTCTCAGGGGCTGTTCTAGGCGAAGCAGTCTTCGGTCTGTGTTAAAGAGAGACCCTCATCCAGTGGCTGCTGGGTGTAAGAGCCATCTGAGTGGCCAGTGCTCCAAAGGGTGTGCTCTGGAGGCTTGGATGCGGACCTGAGGGAGAACCTTCTCGGACAGCATGGCCGCACTGTAGGCCGCAGATGGCAGATAAGCTTGGAGAAGCCACTGTGCTTCTCCTGGGGCTAAGAGCTAGAGGAGCAGCCACGAGGGCGTGGAGCTGGTCTGTGACCCAGCAGAGAGCACCCACATCGAGAGCCTGTGGCTGGGCCCAGGCAAAGCTTGGTATCTTTGTGGCCAAGTCCATGACCTTGTTTTTGTTTTTTTTGTTTTTTTTTTTATTTTAAAGAATAAAAGAAGGGTAACATAATAATATGGGAGGGCTTACCAAATTACAGACAAAGTGGTAGGAAATTATCAATGGTTATTGTTTCACATATTGTTATCTACAAGATAGTTTCTCAGGAAAACAGATAGACAAATGATAGTGAGTTACAGACAAAAGGGGTAGGAGATTATCAAGAGTTGTTGTGCTATACTTTGGTATCTTCAAAGTGGCTTCTAAAGAAAATAAATAGACCTATACATGAGTGACCTATGAATAATCATTCACTTTTCTCAATGGTTGTTGTAGGGAACACATAATGATAGACATGCGACCTTGTTTTTTAATTAATTCATTTTTCAGAGACAGCGTCTCAGTAAGCTGCACAGGTGGGGCTAGAATTTATGATCCTCCTGCCTCAGTTTCCCAGAGTGCTGGGATTCTAGGTATGTCCTGCTATGTTCAGCTTCCATAAACTTTCCCGGGGCAAGTGAGTCCAGGACTTTCTGGTTCCGTTTAGGCTGCAAAAGAGCTAGATGAGCGACCTTCCGTCTTCTTGCTCACAAATTCGTCGCATTCTGTGGTTGCAGTAAAGGGAATTTAAGGAGTCTGTTGAAGGAATGGGGACACTCCCAATACAGAAGGAAGAAGGTGGGGCTGGGGCTTTAGCTCAGTGGCACAGCGCCTGCCTGGCAAGCGCAAGGTCGTGAGTTCGATTCCCGGTACCAGGAAAAAAAAAAACCACAAAAAACAGAAGGAAGAAGGTCTGAATAGACACTCGTAGTAAAGTACCATAGAAGCCTTGAAAGCCTTAGAACTGGAAAAAGCACATTTAAATACCAGCATTGTTGCTCATTAGCTAAATGCTACAGGTGAGTGACCCAATCTCTCTGAACTGCAGTTTCCCCACCTATAAAACAGTGATCATAATAATGACCTGACACTGTTGTCATGATGATTAAATAGTGCTAGTAAGGAACTTACCATAATACCTGGTACATAAGAAATAATAAAATGATTTCATTATCATTATGTTTGCTACAGCTCTCTTGTAATAAAAAAAAAATCAGAGCAACTTAAATTTTATCAGTGGAAAATTGGTTAAGTGAAGAGGTTCCGTCCATATATACAGGGTGACACTGGACAACCATTAAAAATTAGGATGTGGGTTTATACTTGTATGCAGAAAACTGTTCATGGATTTATTATTTAGCAGGAAAAAGCAGGTTACATCTCATTGTATATGCCATGACCTTATTTTATGTTTAAATGCAGGTTGGTATAAGTTCATATAAATGTATGTATAAGTGCCCGGGAGAATGTTTGGAATGAGATTCACTGTACCATTAACTGTGTTTATTGCCGCAGGGTGGGGGCTTGGGTAGGTTTTTGCTGTTTTTCTCGTTCTTGTTCTTGTTCTGTTTTACCATGTTTTAATTCTTTAAAATAATGACCATTGTGACATGTATAACAAACAATAATAACAAAAAAAAAGATAAAAATGTGTGGTCTACAGCAAGAAAGAGCTCTCGATAGGATCTGTCAACACAAAGTGAAATAAAAAAGAAAAAAGGTTGATTTTTTTCCAACGAAAATGAAGCTTTATCTGGCTTTTGTCAGTGTGATAAAATAATCACCATGGTGTGAAATTTACTATGTGAACAATTCTTAAGCGTACAGCTCAGCGGTATTGAGCACACGCATATAGTTGTGCACCAATCACCCATTTCCGGGATGTTTTCATTATTTCAAACTAAAACTCTGTACCAGCTGAATAACTTTCCCCCACCCTCGCCAACTCCTGGCAATCAGAGATTTTGACTACCCTCGGTACCTCATATAAATGGAATCACATAACATTTGTCTTTCTGTGGCTGGCAGAATGTCTTCAAGGCTCATCCATATTGTAGCGTGTGTCCCAGTTTTCTTCCTTTATATGTACAAATGTATATGCCACATTTTGTTTATCCATTTGCCCATTGATAGATACTTGGATCGTTTCCACCTTTTGGCTATTGTGAAGATGCTGCTGTGAATATGGGTATTTTATCCAGCTTTAATTGGAGGTCATCATACATCGTTCTACACCTGGTCTCTCCAACTGCTGGTTAGATTGAGATCCAACTAACATTTAATCAGCAGATATTGAGCTCCAGGAACTAGGCTGAGGACTTTCAATTCATCGCTTTGCAGAAGCCCTGGAAACACCCTTCTAGGTGAAGTATGCACTGCAACCCCCACTTCACAGGTGACACTCAGGCTCAAGTCACAGTCCAGGAACACTGCCAGACAGCAGAGTGGCAACAAATGACCCCAGAGTCTCACAGACCATTTTCCCTCTTCCACACACTTAGCTGTCACGCATGGTGCGCAGTATAAAGGTGAGCGTGGCTCACCTGTTCTCACCACAGGCTGCTGACAGAAGGCCCCTCTGGGACGCAGCTGGACTCATGATAGAGAAAAAAAGAAGACAGATCACAAGCTAGCCAGCTGTGTGTGCGCGTGTGCGTGTGCATGTGTGTGTTTGTTACTGGGTAATGGACTCCAGTGCCTTGCACCAAACTATATCCCCAGCCTTTTGTTTGTTTTGTGTTTTGTATTTTGAGACAGGGTCTCACTATGTAGCCCAGGCTGGCCTTGAACTCTTGGCGCTCCTCCTGTTTTAGCCTCCCAAGTACGGGGAAAACAGGCGTGCCACCATGCTCGGTAAGTGGGGTCCTGGTGACCCACCAGGCAGGGGCCTGAGACTGGGCGTGGTAGAGCAGATGGCGCCCTTGGGCACCCCCTTAATTCTTTGTCTAGCCCTTGTCGTCTAGAAAGAGCAGTGCAGTGTGTGTCCTCCCTGAAGGCCTAGCAAATAGGCCCACCTAGCCCTCTCCAGGGAACTGGGAGGGCGGTGGGAGCAACCGTGTACAGTAGATACGCTCTGAGGAAGGTCACTTTTGTTTCTTTCTTCTGGGGGATGTAATTATGACTATTTAAATGTTTGACCCTTTGTTTTTGGGTTTGGTGCTAGGAATTGAGCCAGGGCCTTAAGACTGCTAAACATGAACTCTACCACTGAGCTACACCCCTAACCCCAGATATTTAGATTTTTGCGGTTCAGGTTTGGGTTTGGGTTTGGCTTGGTTTGGTTAGGACAAGGTCTCACTACGATGTGTAATGCAGGCTGGACTTGAATTCACTATGTAGCCCAGGCTGGCCTCCAACTCCTAGCAATCCTCCTGCCTCAGTCTCCCAAGTGCTGGGATTACAAAGGTGCACCACCACACCTGGCTTCAGATTTTTCTTTTAAAATGATTTTCAGGTCTGCATCAAGCATCTAGTAAAATTACAAAACATTTATTAAAGATTAATATATTCAAGCTGGGCACAGTGGCTCAGGCCTGTGTACCCAGGTACCTAGGAGGACGAGGGAGGAGGATTGCAAGTTCCAGATGAACCTGGGCAACCAGGTCTCAATAATAATAATAATAATAAAATAATGGGCTAAAGAGTCGCAGCACTTCTTAGAGGAACCTTTCCTGGGTTTTTCTGCCCCGCACCCACTGCAGGTGTTCCATTTGTTGGGCACCCACCCTTTACCGGATTGCAAGGTGCCTCGCACACAGTGGAGAGCAAGGCCCAGACACAACCCCTAAGGGTCCACAAGGCAGCAAACAAAGACAGTGAATGAGTGAGCGATTTCCCAAGAACCTGACAGTGGTTAAGTGATCTTTACCAAAACTTTACTGTGACTAAGTGGTTGTATTTTAAACATAATGTTTAAAAGCAATGACTTCAGATCTGAACTCAAAACCTTGGTCCCATCACCTAGCTATGTGGCCTACACAATCCCAGGTAAGTTACTAGCCCTCTTGGCCTCAGCCTTGCTCTCTGTAAAATGGAAATTAACTGAGATGAAGCATGTAAAACCCTTTGGTCAGTGCCGGGTGCAGGTGAGCCCCTGCCAGCCGACCAAGCATTGGACCCAGGCCTCCCGAGTCCCATCTAGCCCGTTTCTCTCCCTGTAACAAAGAACGAGGCCTTCTTGTGGCAGAGAGCTCATATTTCCCAAAGACAATGTTGGGCAAGAGACCGCTGTGTTGAGAAAGAACCAGGAGGCAGAGGTGGGGAGAGTGTATAGGCTCCTGGGTAGTTTGAAAAAGAAGTCACCTGCGTGTTCACAAACCTTTTCTCGGGTTTAAAAAGACGGGACTAAAATTATTTTCATCCCTTGAATCAATGAACTCTTCGGTCACTCCTTCGGCGGGAAGTTCTCATCCTTCCGCAAAGCAGTTTTTCTCACAAACTGCCTGCGGACCGCGCATCTTAGAATCCTGCGCTTCCCACCTCCTGCTCTGCCGGATGAGCGTTTCTGCGGCAGTGGAGAGCGAAGAGGGGCGCATGCTCAGCGTCACTTTTAATTAGCTCCCCGGGTAATTCTTCGGAACAGTAAAGTTTAAGAAACGCTATGCATCCGTTCACATCCGGTGCTCAGAAAGGTTACGCCCCTTCAGTTTACTGCCCCTGAGATTATATTACAGTTCGGCCGATCCCGTGACCCCCCGTGACTCTGCCGTTATTTACGGTGAGAACTAAAATTACTCACCCCTGTGATCCCATGGTCCTAGCGCTGCCAGAGGCCAAATGCTGCCCAAACTTAAATAAGTATAATGGAACGGTAGGAGAATATAGAAAAACAATGAGGAGGCTCTTCTTATACTACTATGGACTAAACTCTAAAATATGTAAAGTGAAAAAAAAAAAAATCAGTGCTCAACAATGTGTTTAGTCTACTAGCATTTGTGTAGGAAAGAAGCCCATGCGCGCACACAAGACACACATACATATTTATATATGCAAATCTCTGTATATGCAAATCTCTGGAAGAATACACAGGGAACTGGGGTGGGAAGGAGTTGTGGTTACCTCTAGGGATCTGGGGTGAACGGGGACATGAGTCAGGGAAAGACTTTTCACAAGACTCTATACCCACCCCAGCTTTTGAATTTTGAACCATCTGAGTGCATTCCTTCAGCAGAAATAAATTAAACGCAAATGTGAAATACTGCCTGCATGTGCAGTCTCAAGGCGTCTCCACATGTGTGGGCCTCCTTCTTCCCTGCAGCCCCCGGTTCTCTGTTCCGACTGTCCTTTTATGTGAAGCTCTCCTTCCTGTGCCAATCACTGACCTTGTCCAGCCACAGGCATAGTTTGATCCGACTGTTAAGCTAGACAGCTCCTCCTGCACTTAACATTCCAGTCCAGAGGCCGCCAGAGCACATTCGCAAGAGATGTCATGATTTCAGACTCTGGCGAGAAGCGAGAGGTCAGCATGCTTATGTAAGTCAACATTGCTGCTCAAAAGGGACGTGCCCAGGAAGGCAAGCTGCGCACGCAGGCAGCTGACTGCTCAGCCTGCAGCGTGACTTGCAAGGGACCAGGGCCAGCTTGGAGGAAGTCAGCAGGGCAGGAACTGAATCCCAGGCCTGCTGGGGACCTTGACCCATCCTATGCTTACGTGAAAAAGAGATATGTATCATTAAGAACAACATAAGGGTAACATATGGGCCAGCTGTCCCACTTGGAAGTGTCTACACAAGAGAAAAAGGAGATACATATGTCCACACAAAGCTTTTGTATAGGAAAATTCATGGCAGTGCAGTCAGGAGGCTGAGGCAGGAGGATCACCACGAGTTTCAGGCTAGCTGGGGCTACATCATAGTGAATTCAAGGCCACCCAGATGACCTAGTGAGAATTCATCCCAAAAAAAGAAAAAAAAAAAAATCATGGCAGCTTCATTTGTAATAATCCTAAACTAGAAACAACTCAACTCCATCAATAGGTGCAGGGATGAACAAATCATGGCACATCCATAGAATGGAATAATCCTCAGCAAAAAACAAAAAAATATTGATACAGGCAACACGGGTGACTCTAAAACAAATTATATAGCATTAAAAAGTCAGACAAAAAAAGAGTGCATGGCCATATAATTCTCTTTATACAAAACTCTAGAAATGTAACATGGTCTGCAGTGACAGGAAACGAAGTCAGTGGTTTCTCGAGGATGAGAGAGAAGGCGGAGAGAGAAGGCCAGCAGCAAACTCTCCAAGGCGATGGATGTGGCCATTAGGGCTGGAGATACAGCTCAGTGGCACAGCACTACCTCACAAGCTGGAGGCCCCGGAGTGGAGCCCAAGCACAAAAAATGGGCAGTGGAGGATCTTATGGTAGCACGTAAAACTCAAGAGACAAGTCATGCTTTTAAGATTGAAGGAAATGTTCTGTATCTTAATTGTGGCAGTAGTTACACAACTGTATGTCTTTGTTTGTTTGTTTATTGGTTCTTTTGAAACAAGGTCTCGCTGTGCAGTTCAGGCTGGCCTTGAATTCACAGTGTACCCCAGGCTGACCTCAATCTGGTGGCAATCCTCCTGCCTCAGCCTCCCGAGGGCTGGGGTTACAGGCGTGCGCCACCACACCTGACTAGTATGCATTTGTTAAAGTTCTTCCAACTGTATGCTTAAAACTAGTGAATTTTGCTGAATATAAATTGTGCCTCAATGAGACCAGTCATTTAAGAAGCAGGACACACACATGGTGCATGAGCACACCCACACGGAGAACAGATTAGGGAGCCTGGGGACCGATACACCTGCTGCCCACCTGCCTGGCTCTGCAGATGGCCTTCCCATCTCTCATCTGTCTCCTTCTCTATTCTCTGTATGCCTGTGCCATTCTCTCTTTCTCTAATCCTCCCCTCCGACTGATTCCTTTCCAGTGTCCTGCCATATATCTCAGGGCCCAGGTACAAGAATAAGAAAGGAACCTCCCTCTAGGCCATGTCACGGCTTCCCAGGAAAGGACTCTGATGGCTCCATTTGGGGTTATACGCTGGGCCTTTATTCATTTATTCAAAAGCTATCGAGCAAGCATTGTGCTAGGCCCTGGGAGACCACAGAGAATGGGACAATGAAGTCTTTGCATGACTTCCAGCCTAGTGAGGAGACAACAAACAAACAAATAGTACTCCCAGCTCACACTGTGACATGCTTTTCAAAAGACAAAAACAAGAGTAAGGAGATGGAGGGCGACTGGGGGCGTGGTGTTATTTACTTAAGCGGCCCGGTAGAGTCATGAAGGTGGAACAGACATGAAGCAGTCAGCTGTCCTAAGAGCTGGGTGAAGGAAGTTACTTCCAGGGAGGAGTTAAAGCAGGTGTGAGGAACAGGGGTGATGTGAGTCCCCATGTGACCCGAGCTCAGTGAGAGGGGAACAGGAGGGCATGAGGCCAGGCTATGTGGGACCTTCTAGAGCAGGGACAGGAATCTACACTCTATCCCCCTGGGTCTTGGAAAGACACCTGAGCAGTTAAGCAAAGGAGGAGATTTTTTTTTCCTTAAACTTCTCCCTGGCTGTGTTGGTTACTTTTCTCTGGTTGCTGAAGCAAAATACCTGACACCCAAATTAGAGACAGAAGGTTTATTTAGCTCGCAGTTTGTGGAGGTTTCAGTCCATAATCTGCTGACTCCAAGGCAGGGTGGCACATGGCAGAGGGCAACAGTTCATGGCAGCAGAAGATAGCAAAGCAACAAGAGCAAAAGGGAGGAACGAGAGAGCAAGCCTCTTTCCCTCCCTTATATGGTATGCAGGCTACCCATCCTAGGGCATGTGTAGGACTCACACCCATAATCCCAGCATTGGACCATAAGTCAGTCACAAACTCTAGAAGCCCACCCTTAACTGCAAGAGGCTTTGAGGGGACAGCTAAACACAAGCCTTAACACCAGCTGCTACAAGAAGAATAGACAGTAGGGGACAAGGGTAGAAGCAGAGAGCCAATAGAAGGCTACCACTGTGGCATATATGGAAAGGAAGCCAAGAAGGTTTGCTGATGAACTAGACATTGGAGAAAAAGGAGAATGCAAGAGAAGAAAGAAGGTGGCCAGAGAAAGAAGGAGCAGGATAAACACGGCGGTGGTGAAGCCCCATTTACTAACGTGGCATCTCCACTGAGATCGCAGGCAGAAGGTGGGAGGAGAGCCAGCAGTAAGAGTATCAGGCGCCCATTTTTGATGGCCTTGCTGGGCCTCTGTAGCCTGGTCTAGAAGACAAGAGGATTGCAGGAGTTTCGGAGGTTTGCTGCAGGGGCCACGATGGCGTGCTGACATTTAGAGGAGGGGCCGGGGAATATATAAGATGACTCACCCGAGAATGTCCTCTCTGCCGCTTCCAAATGTCCCACTGGACACTGACAAAGATGAAAAGACCTGTAAAACGATCTAAGCCTGGAATCCAACTCCATTTTACACACAAGCATGGTTGTTAAAAATACTTGCCAGGAATGCAACTCCAGGGAAATCAAGGCATTTGATATGCTTGGAAGTTGGCTCCAGAATTTATTTTAGGGCCAGGGATGTACCTCATTAGTTGAGCACTTGTTAGCATTCAAGAGGCCCTTGGTTTGTCCTCTAGCACCACAAAAGTAAATAAGTAGTATCACCAGCATAATGCGTATGGGGTTTTTAGATTTGTTTTTGTTTTTCTGAGACAGGGTCTTACTATGTAGTTCACACTGGCTTTGAAAACTATGTAGCCCAGGCTGACCCCAAATTCTTGGTGATCCTCCTGCCTCAGCATCCCAAATGCTGGGATTACAAGCATGTGCCACTACGCCTGGCTCAGAAAATCTTTCTTAAGGAAGTAGTTTACTATTTTATTGTGTTAAAATACACATAAACTTCATCATTTAACTATTTAAAAGCGTCCAGTTCAGTGGTCTGTAGCACATGCACAGTTCTGTATAATGTGACCACCACAGAGTTCCAGAACACTACATCAGCCTGAAGGAAATCCCACATCCTCCAAACAGCTACTCCCCACTGCCTTGGTCCCTGGCAACTCTTAATCTGCTTCCTCTCTCTCTCAGTTTGCCTATTTGGAGGCTTCCTAGAAGTGGAATCATACATGTGACCTGTGAGTGGCTTCTTGCAGATCAGCATAAGGCTTTTAAGTTTCATTTGCATTGCAGTATATGTGAATACTTCATTCCTTTTGTGTTTTAATGTTTTTGTTATTGTTGTTTTTGGTTTTTTTTTTTTTTTTTTTTTTTGGTCTTTTTGAGACAGGGTCTCGCTATGCAGTTCAGGCTGACCTTGAGCTCACTTTGTAGCCCAGGCTGGTCTTGAACTCACAGTGATCCTCCTGCCTCAGCCTCCTGAGTGCTAGGATTAATTTTCAATTGAGGTAAAATTTATGTAACAAAATCAAATATTTTAAAATGCACAATTCAGAGAGATTTGGCATCTTTACAATGTTAGGCAACTCATTCTATGTCCAAAACATTTTTATTACCCCAAAACTAAACCATGGACCCACTGAGCAGCCAGCTCCCATCTTTCCCTCCCCTCAGTTCCAGGCAATAACCAATCCACTTTCTATCTTTATGTCTCTGTTTTGAATATTTCATATAAATGGAATCATTCATCATGTTATGATTTTATGTCTGGATTCTTTCACTTAAAAAACCTTTCATTAAAAAACCCCCTTTCCTGAGATTTATAAGGTTCATCCATGTTGTAGTATATTATCAGAACTGTACCTTTTCATGACTAAGTAATATTTCACAGTGTAGATATACCACATTTTGTCATTCACTTATGGACAATCATTCCTACCTACTGGTTATGTGAACAGTGCTACAATGGACATTCATACACAAGTTTTTTTGAGTATCTGTTTTCAATTCTTTTGGCATATACCTAGGAGGGTACTTGCTGGGGTGATTTTGTGTATAACTGATTGCGGAACTGCCAGTGTTTCCCACAGAAGCTACACCATTTTACATTCCCACCGGGATGTCCCAATTTCTTCGTTTCCACATTCTCGCCAATACTTTTTGTTTTTTATTATAACCACTAAGTGGCTATGGAGTGCATCTTCTTGTGGTTTTATTTGCATTTCCCTAATGACTAATAACACTGAGTATTTTTTCATGTGCTTGCTGACCACTTATGTATCTTCTTTGGAGAAATGTCTATTCAAGTCTACCCATTTTTAAAGTGGATTATTTGTCTTTTTGTTGTTGAGTTGTGCCTAAGGAAATAATTTTAAATTTGAAAAGTTATGTGAAGAAGACATATTTATCACAGTTGTGTTTGTAACATGGAAAAGATGGGAAGTCCACTAATGTCTGACAATAGGGTGAACAAACAGTCCCTGCCCGCAAGGGGCGCTAGGACATGATGAGAAGACGCAAGAGAAACGAGAAATTCAGCAAGTCCCTGCCCCGCATTTGCATCGTGCCAGAGCAGCTGGTGGGGGTCCCCAGGCAGATGAAGGAATGTGAGGGTCGGTGTGCGTGGAGCCGAAAGATGGCATTCATCAAGAGGGAGAAAAGAACAGTGTGATGTGGGACGTGCCAACTCTTTGTTGGGCTGTGGGATAAGGTTCAGTGTAGAGAGAGAAAGGACACAGAGCAAGAAGAACGTTTTATACTAAACATGTATCTGAAAGCTCAGGGAGCTTCAGAAGGCGACATGATCAACTGTATAACTTGGGAAGATCGCTTGAACAGCCATCCGGGCTAAGATGAGGCCTGACTAGGGTCTGGTTGGGAGACCCTGCTGCAAGACAGTGGCTACCAGGAGATAGGAGGTAAGATATTAAGACCTATGGTGCCATTAGGCCATAAACCACACAAGGTCAGCAATTGTGTGTGATCCCTGTATTAGAGTTCCGGCCTGTGAGAGTTTGGGTTGTGTCTTACAACATTTGGGCAGCTATAACAAAATACCATAAACGAGGTGGCTTATAAACAACAGAAATTTATTGCACAGAGATCTGGAAGCTGCCCAGATCAAGTTGTCGACAGATGCAGTGTCTAGTGAAGGCCCATTTCCTGCTTCACAGACAGTGTCTTTTCACTGCATCTTCATGTAGTGGAAGGGCTGAGCTAGCTCTCTGGAGTCCCTCAGAAGGCCAGTAACCCCAATCCTAATCATCACCCGATTACCTCCCAAGGGCCTCGCCACCCGACATCATCACCTTGGGAGTTAGGATTTCACCATATGAATTTGGGGAGGACACAAACACTCAAACTATAGCAATTTTGTCCTACACAAAATAGATATACTGAAGTCCTAAGTACCAGTACCTCAGAACATGAGGAACTAGGGTTGTTGCCAATGTAATTACTTATGATGAGAGCATACCAGAATAGGGTGGACCCTGAATCCAGTACTACTATTGTTATTTTCAGAAGACAGTCATGTAAAGACAGAGACACATGGGGAAAACACCACAGCACCACAAAGGCAGAGACTAGAATTATGCCCAAGTACCGGGCATAGTGGCACACGCCTGTAAGCCCAGCATTTGGGAGGCTGAGGCAGGAGGATCACTGAGTTCAAGGCCAGCCTGGGCTACATAGTGAGTTCAAGGATAGCCTGCGCTAGTGAGACCCTGTACCAGGGGAAAAAAGAATTATGCCCAAGTAACCAAGGAATGCCTAAAGATGGCCAGGAGCTGCCAGCAGCCAGAAGGAGGCTAGGGAAGATTACCTACCACTTTTAGTGGGAGCCTGGCCCTGGCACCTGAATTGCACACAATAAATCTCTGCTGCTTTATACCACCTCGCTTACGGTACTTTGTCATGGTAGCCTTAAGAATATACTGCACTTACTTGTGATGCTGTCCTGATATAAATATTTAGCTCAATAAATACCAACAGCTAACATTTCTTGAATGCTTACTCTGTGACAGGCTGTATTTTAAGTGCTCTGTGTTTTACTGAGAATAACCCATTCTTCCTTGCAATTGCCTATAAAGGAGATTCTATTATAGTTCTCACTTTATATTTAAGAGAACAGAAACACAGAGTGGTCAAGCAAATTTCCCAAGATAACAAAGCTAGCTAACTGGCAGAGCCAAGAATTACATTTGGAGGCTGACTCCCAGCTCTAGTGCTCTTAGCCAATGTATTATGCAGCAGTTCTAAGAAACATTTGCAGAAAAGTTGGATGGAGAGATAAATGAATGGGTGTGTCCATCTGGATTTGGTGCCAGGGTAAAAACCAAGAGCAATGAAACAAAGAAAGGATCAAGATGACTCTGAGCCATCAAGGTGTTTGGCTCCGACGACTTAGTAAGGAAGCCAGGCGTATGTTCTTGAATCACTGAGTTTGAGTGATGTAAGACAGGTGAGTGAGACGTCAGATAGTCTGTTGGACAAATAGGCCCGGAGCATTAGAGACAGGTGTGTGTTAGAATTACAGAGTTGGGAGCCGTCAGTGTACTTAGTGGCAGAGGCTTGGATGAGATCACTGAAGCAGAGTATGCAAGCCGAGAAAAAAGACCATCAAAAAGCGTGCTGGGGAACACTGGGCTTGTGGGGGGGACTGCACTTCCCAGCACAGTCATGGAAAGGGCAAAAGTAAGGTTGTGGTGGGTGAGAAGTGAATGAAAAATTAATTGAAGGGCAAGTGTGCTGGTACAGGTGAGAAAGGTAGAATGATGGGCCACTGTCAGAGAGCAGGTACACAGATGGCCAGACACAAACTGTGCTGGAGCCAGCTTGCAGCAAGTAAGAGTGAATCATTACATTTCACAAATTGGTGGGCATGGTGGTACATGCCTGCTATCCCAGCCACCATACTCAGAAGGATAAGGCAGGAGGATGGCAAGTTCCAGGTCAGCCTGGGAACTTAGCAAGATCCTATTTCAAAATAAAAACAGGGTTGTGGATACAACTGAGTAGTAGAGTGCTTACCTAACATATACAAGGCTACACACACACACACACACACACACATACACACACACACACACACACACACAAAACAGGAATTTTGCAATCTGATTAAACAGTCAATATTCAAAGTTAAATTGTAGAAACTTACAATTAAGTAAATTAGCTGGGCCTAGTGGTGCACACCTGTAATCCCAGCACTTGGGAAGCTGAGGCAGGAGGTTCGCCATGAGTTTGAGCCCAGCCTGGACTACATAGTGAGTTCTCAAGACCAGCCTGAACTGCATAGTGAGACCCTACCTCAAAAAAACTAAATAAATAAATAAAGTTCATAAACCTTTAAATCTCATAACTTCCTAACTATTTTACTAAGATCTATGCTCTGATATTTGCTGTATCTGTGTGATGGAAATAGTAAATGCTAAGCCACTGTACTCATTCCCCAACTGTGTCCAGTGACATCAACTGGTAGCTTGAAATTGGCCATGGCGAAGTATTTATACCATGGAAACTGGCAAGTGCTACCAGTCAGAGCTGGACTTACTGTTTTGTCAATGTCTAGGCTCAAGGAGCTAGT